ATGCTTTTCCAGAATCCCAGAAATTGAAAGCTTCGAGTTCTGTGAATCACGTGAATTTCCAAAATCCCAGAACTCGAACCGTTCGAGTTCTGTGAAAAATCCCAGAAATTGCAACGTTCAATTCCTGTGAATCACGTAAAATTTCCAAATTCCCAGAATTCGAAGCCTTCAATTTCTGTGCATCAAGTGTTCTTTTTTATCACCGAATAAATATATATTTGTGTATCGAAAAAATTCTATTGCAAGTACAGGAAATACTAGTCGAAAACGCTTTATCGTTTTTTTATGTAAATTTGAACATTTTTTTCGCTCCACAAAGAAAATGCGAAATTACTGAAACTTCACAGAAATTTTGGAAATTGAAGTGATTTGGGATGAAAATTGAAAATTTTGAAAATCGCTCCTTCTTATATCAAAAATCTGTCAACTGTGTAATAAAATGTTTGGGATAATATGATAAAGATTTTATCAGTTGACAATGTTCTTATATCTTTGACAGGAACCGTGATGTAGGCTTTCCATTTGGGCGGGTGAAGATGCGGGCCACCCGCTACCCACCCGGAGGAAACCCTACCGTGATGACCTGGCTCAAATTTGAAAGTCAAGGGACCCTTCGATTATGAACGATCCTAAACACAGTCGAAAGACTTTGAAGAGCTCTGAATGCCTCCGAAGGATTCGAAAGACCTGTAAAGGATTCTGAAAGCATCTGAACGGTTTTAAAGATCTGAAGTATTCGAAACGTTTCTAAAAATTTGTGAAGGCCTCTAAAGAAATCTAAAAGATTCTGAAGAAATTTGAATAATTCTGCTGGCTTCTGAAAGATTCTGTAGGATTCTGAAGGATTCTGAAGGATTCTGAAGGATTCTGAAGGATTCTGAAGGATTCTGAAGGATTCTGAAGGATTCTGAAGGATTCTGAAGGATTCTGAAGGATTCTGAACGCCTCGGAAGAATTCTGAGGACTTCTAAACTGTTCTGAAGGATTCTGAAGGTCCATTATCGATTCTGAAGCATTCCGAGATTAAAGGGATCCTGCGATTTTATGATTCTGAGAACGAAAAATTCGATTTCTTGATAACAATAACCCACAAGACTAGAAAATTTTCGAAATTTGTACTTCTCTCGAGAAATGAGTAATGATATTTTTCATGAAAATTTCCAGGTAATGGGCGGAGCCTACAATTCCTTTTTCCTATAAAATCCCATCCAACATCATTTCCAGAATAGAGAAAATGATCTACGTCAACTGGTACCACTACCATATTCCCAAACTTTTTGGCATTTTCAGCTTTCTTATAAACCCAATTTTCATTTATTTGGTGCTGAAAAAATCCAAATCTCAAATGGGAAAATATCGATATCTTTTGATTTTTTTCGCCTGTTTCGATGTTGCTTATTCGGTTGCCGAGCTTTTGACACCTATCGTAAGTTTGATCAACTTTGAGCTCAATTATCTCAGTTCCCATGGGAGATATCCGAAAAATTTCATCTGATAAAGTTTTAATCATATTATCAACATTATTTTATCAGCTGACAATTTTGTCATACCTTTCACAGGAATCGAGATAATAGAGCTTAAAGTGAACGGTTCGGGTGGGGAGGGGGAAGGGAAAAAGAGGGACAGCTACCTTTAAGCGCTTATAACTCATCTGATAAAAATGATATCAAAAAATGCTCAACTGACAAATTATGTAAAATTTCATTCTTTACATTTATTTAGTTAACTAAAAATATATATGACTTCTGGTTTTCAAGATACACCCATTTTTTCCAGGCCGTCATCAACACAGGCTACGGTTTTGTCACTTTCATCACAGATGGTCCATTTTTCGATAACTACATGAATGGACAACATGGTGTATCCTCAAGATGCTGCTTCATTTCTCTAAGCTACGCAATTTTGATCATTCACTTTGTTTATCGGTATCTGGTTCTTTTTAGGTGAGTCTCTAAAACTTGATTTTGGATCTTTTTTTTTCACAAAATCCAGAAAAGTTTTCAGCCCAGACTATGTGAACAGAGTCTTTGAGCCGTTGGGAATTTTTGTAATTTTGGCATATTTCACGTTTCACGGAGTGTCTTGGACATGGATTTGTGAATTTTGCCTAGCGCCGAATGATGAGATTCGCGATATGATTCGGCCGGCGTTTGAAGAAGTCTATCATGTTAATTCAGATATTGTTCCGTGTTTGACGGGACAGTATATGGTGAGGAATCTGGGATTTCAAGATTTTAGGGTTGTCTGAAACTATTAGGAACTGTTTGATATTGTTTGAAGCTGTCAGAAATGGTCTGGACCTCTCTGAAACTGTTTGAAATTGTCTGAAAGAGAATTCTGAGGTTCTGAGATTCTGTTTTTTTTTTCCAGAATGCAAGTACATACGTAATGGCAAAAAGTTGGATTGGAATTTCTTCGCTAACCCTATTCTCAACCTACTGTATGACGGTTTATGTGGTTCTAGGCTATAAGGTAAGAGGGAG